TTCTAAAGCTGGTCTCAAAGTCAAAATCCACTCTGATTCAGCAATATACTCTTCCCTTTATCCCTCAAAATCACTGATGTGATGTTCCAAAGCTTTGTGCTTTTTTGGCTTCTTAGTTCCCACTGTGAAAAATGTCTTGTTTATGAAAGTAATCTGTAATCAACAAGCCTTCTTGGCTGTTCTGTTGATTACCCTTAAAAAATTCTGTTCTCTGTAGGCTCATTAGACTCTTTTTCCTTACTCTACTTTTCTCTTTTTTTGTAAAACATTTGTTAAAAATGAGCCGAGGGCTGGAGTTGTGGCTCAGTGGCAGAGTGCTTGCCTCACACATGTGAATCACTGGGTTCAATCTTCAGCATTTAAAAATAAACAAACAAAATAAAAAATATTGTGTCTATCTATAACTAAAAAAATAAAATAAAAATAAATGACTATGAGCTGGGTGCGTTTGTGCATGTCTGTAATCCCAGCAGCTCTGGAGGCTGCCTCCTCTGAGGCAGGAGGATCTCGAGTTCAAAGCCAGCCTCAGCAACTGAAAGATACTAAGCAACTCAGTGARACCTTGTCTCTAAATAAAATACAAAATAAGGCTGGGGATGTGGCTCAGTGGCYGAGTACCCCTAAATTCAATCCCCAGTAGCATATCAAAGAAGAGAATAGCCAGAGCCAACTCAATAGGTCTTACTCTTAAAGATTTTTATCAACACCTTGGCACTCTTTTGCTGACAAAAATGATTCTTAAGCCTTTTAACAGCTTTATGACTTCCTATTTTAGCTCCCCACCTAACATAGCCTGTTATCAAAATGAACTGCCCATCATTTGGGGAAACACTCTGGAGGCTATTTCCTGATATAAGAGCACAGCTTAGTCTCTGGATTAGCACTCATTTAATATGAAACCAAGAGTCAAACATCTCTGAAATATTTAGTAAAATATGACTATTCTATTCCACAATGTTGTCTTCGGGGATATAAACAATCTAAAATAAGTATTTGAGTCGTGCTGTATCATATTAATATTTTCAAAAGAAATCTGATGTTTGGAGTAATAGGCCATATTTTATGGCCTAACTGCAGCAACACATGAAGCAAAGTCCAAATGTGGATCTGAAAAAAAAGATGAAAGCATCATCAGTGATGATGAAAGACTATTACTGAAGTAAATCTTATTTCCTTGAGGAAGGAAGGTACTGAATCTATTAGAATATGCCTTTGAAGGGCTATGAAACAAGTCCTTTATTTCTGAAAAAAATCAAATCATGCTGATAAATTAGTTACAGGGGATACAAAACAGAGATGAATAAGCTAAAAAAAAAGTCTCCTTCTGGTTTGTCTTATATATTTTCTAGGCAATATTCTTCCTGATAGGACACATAGCACAAAATATAATTTTGCTGAATATGATAATGCATAAGTTAGAGAAAATARCTTTTTTTAATATTTATTTTTTATAGTTGGACACAATACCTCCATTTCACTCAATTGTTTTTTACGTGTGCTRAGGATCAAACCCAGGGTCCCGMGCATGTGAGACGAGCACTCTACCGCTGAGCCACAACCCCAGCCCAGCTTTTTTTTTTTTTTAAGCTGGGAATTTACTATGTTTCCTAGGTTGGTCTTGAACACGTTCACTTGTCATCCTCCTGCCTCAGCCTCCCGAGTACCTGGACCTATATGTGTGCGTCACTGTGCCCAGCTCAAAACAGCAGTTTTACATTTTTATTTATTTATTTATTGGGTACTGTGGGTTAAACCAAGGGTCCTTTGCCATTGAGCTACATCCCCAGATCTTTTTATTTTTTAAATTTCAAGATAAGAGTCATGCTAAATTGCTGAGGCTGGCTTTGAACTTTCAATCCTCCTGCCTCMGACTCCCCAGTCATTAGGATTACAGGTGTGCACCACTGCACCTGGCTAAAACAGATGTTTTTTTAAATAAAAAAATTTTATGATAGCTACAGGTAAGAAAGCCTTGGACTTTCTTTTGAGGTACAAATATTGGCACCTTCACATGGGCATAGTAGATAATCAAAAAATGGTACAAACAATGACCTATAATAGCCTGAGTCTACCATAATCAGAGGGGAAAACACAATCTAGCAGAAGTAGCTATTCAGAGTCTAAGGAGGAACATTTCATCAGGCATCAATAATTAAGCACTCAATRAATACAAAGACAATAGATTAGGTACTGAGGGATCATCCTCAAAGAAGCCCTGCTACTCTGCAAACTATAATCTCATTTTTCTCAAGCCTATACACACACATTTTGGTGCTGGGGATTGAACCCAGGACCTTATGCATGCTTAGCATGTGCTCTATCATTGAACTATACCCCTAGTCCTCAAGACTATATATATTTTATGTAGTTAAACAAAATATACATATAGGGGCTGAGATTGTGGCTCAGCGGTAGAGCACTCACCTAGCACGTGTGAGGCCCTGGGTTCGATCCTCAGCACCACATAAAAATAAATAAAATAAAGATATTTTAAAAATACATATGTCTCTTGTAGTAGTATAAGTGTAACATAGGATTTACAAGGAAAATTGTGCAAAGAATGTGTTCCTTCAGCCTTTTCCTACTTAAATATCCCATTGGCTCTCTGAAAATAGTATAAAGTTTCTTTTTTTTAATTTTATTTTTTTTAAGAGAGAGAGAGAGAGAATTTTAATATTTATTTAGTTTTTTTTATTTTTAAATTTTTTTTTTAGTTTTCGGCAGATACAACATCTTTCTTTGTATGTGGTGCTGAGGGTCAAACCTGGGCCTTATGCCGAGCGTGCTACCACTTGAGCCATATCCCCAGCCCAAGTATAAAGTTTCTTGGTGGTTTTCTTTCTTTCTTTCTTTCTTTTTTTTTTTGGACTGGGGATAAAACCCAGGGGCTTGTGCAAGCCAGGCAAAGGTTCTACAACTGAGTCACATCCCTGCCCCTAATGTAAACTTTCTTACCCTGTTTTACTTTTTCTCAAAATCCTTTATACTACTTGACATTTAAAAAAAAAWTATTAGCTGTCTCTCCTCACTAGAATATAAACTCCATGAGGACAGATATTTCAAATGTTTTCTCTTTTTTAAATTTTTTATTTTAGTTTGTTGTAGATGGACACAATACCTTTGTTTATTTTTATGAGGTGCTGAGGATCAAACCTAGTGCCTCACATGTGCTAGGTAAGCACTTTACCACTGAGCCACAACCCAGCCCTCAAATATTTTTCTTTCTGTTTTTAAGAATAGTTTTTAAGGGGCTGGGGTTGTGGCTCAGTGGTAAAGCGTTTGCCTAGCATACATGAGGTACTGGGTTTGATTCTCAGCACTATACAAATATTAAAAAATAAAGATCCATCAACAACTAAAAAATATCTTTAAAAAAAAGAATGTTTTTTAAGATGTTGATGGCCCTTTATTTTATTCATTTATTTATATGCAGTGCTGAGAATTGAACCTAGTGCCTCACACATGCTAGGCAAGCGGCTGATACTGAGCTACAACCTCAGCCCCTCAWATGTTTTCTTTATAGATATAGTCCCAGTAATTAGAACTCTATGTAGCATACAGTGTGTTCACACAAATATTTGTAAAATTAATAAAAGTGCTGAAAAGACCCCTATGTTAGAATTGTTAAATTCTAAAATTTTGGCATATGTGTGTATGTGTGAATGAATTTACAGATTTTTGTGGCGTAAGTGCCAGTGTAGACCGAGTAGAAGACAGGATCAGAAGCTTGTGTGAGGTCATAGAATGATTGCAAAAACAAAGCAATACTATCAGATGATTGAAGGAATCAAAAACTGTCAGCAAATGGCTTTGAAGAATAAACTAAATGCATCTATCCTTTCATGTCTGAAATTTGATTAAAGTGAACTCAAATTCACTTGAGATTACTTGTGATTCACACTAGCTATCTTTTTTTTCTTCTAGCTTTTAAAAAAATTATTTTTTAGTTGTAGTTGGGCACAATATCTTTATTTTATTTATTTATTTTTATGTGGTGCTGAGAATTGAACCCAGGGCCTCGCACATGCTAGGTGAGTGCTCTACTTTTGAGCCACAACCCCAGCCCTTCTTCTAGCTTTTTATCTTAATAACAATTTTTAAAACTTAGTAAAGTTCTTTTTCTCCTCCATAAAGAGGAGAAATGTTTTCTTGCAAGACTGAAAGAGTCTTCCCTTTCTATTTTGGGATTTGCCTGAAGTCACAAGGTAGTCTTGGCAAATCACTCTGCTCTATCTCTCAGTTTACTGAGGCTGCCTGGGAATTTCAACTGTGAGCCAAACAGGAAGAGGACTCTTTTACCTAACTCCAAAAGGCCTAAGTCATATGGATGTGGTGAAGTTTCGTGGTAGATATAAATCACTGCAAATGGATTTCCCACAGGGTTGTGGTGGGGGAACAAAGATGTCACTCAACTTCCTCTGCAGGAAAGGGAAGACTATCACAACATAACTGAGCAAATTTTCCAATGTTTGCACAACATTTTCAACTGAAGATACCCCTTCTGTATCCCTACTATATACGAACAGCCCAAACCTCAAATGTAATCAAAGGAATATTATTCATTTGACTCTGGCGAAGTTACACTGTTTAAATGTTTTTAAAAAGTGTCTGTGTTCATAAACATGTAWAAACGCAATGGTCTTTTTTCAAAAACTGGTAAAAAGTCATGTCTACCCTGATACTCTCATTTGTGACCCCTATATGGTCTTGAATTCTGGTTGTATAGCTAGTATTCCCTCCCTAAACTGTTCTATGCTTTAGTGCTTATAATCCACACCCCCGCCATGATGTCTCCTGATAGAATTATTCGTTCTGTACTCACACAAATGGAAATAGAAGAGATGAAAAGCCCTGGGGATGYAGCCGTGCAGGTCTCAAAATGATCTGATGCTAAACATAACCTGAACCTCTCTTCCTTTCTTCACTTGGCTGAGTTCCTCTCCTGGCTCAGGGTTAGTGATCTTGCATGGCATAGGAGGCTTAGGACCCAGGGGGCGCCTTTCAGCTGAAAAACACCTCGCTGCAGCAAGCTAGCTGGGAAGCTCCCAGTTCTAAAGAGAGGCTGTTTACCAGAAGAGCATAACAAGGGCAGGTCTGACTGCAAGGCTGAAACTGGGAGGCAAAACCACTGCCAAGGGACCCCAGTCGGTCACTGGTAGTTCAATCAACCTGCAGAATGGAGGAGGCGAGGATGCTGTCGGTCTGGATACAAACATTCCTTCTCAGCAACATACTCCTAGCAGCAGCCCATGGATCTGGAGGTGAGATTACAATATTTCCTTTCTGTAGTGACTTAATGAAGTGGAATGGGTAAACCCCCATTTCCCAAACATGGCCAAGATGACAGGAAAGGAAGCTTTTAGCTGATTTTTGCTGTCCTATGAAAGCCCCCCCCCCTTCCTTTTCTTGCCAGGGACTTGCAGCTCCATCTTTATCATTAAGAACAAAGACAAGTGGCCACTTTCTCTTTCCCTTTGCTTACCCAGGAGTGGATGGAGTCTGGAAGTTCATCCCCCTACTCCTTAAGTTATGTTCTTTTTTAAGCCCTTTGCATGATGTGTCCAGCACACTGGCCCATCTTTCCTAGCTTCCTCCTGTAGCTCTCCAGCTGAGGGGAGTGGGAGTTTGGGAGTCACATCCAGGGCAGAGATGAGGCAGGTTCCCACCGTTTGAGGCTCTCCTGAATCTTTTGCCTGACTGAATCAAGGTTTTTGCAGAATTCTCTTGGGAGGGAGTGTTGCCTGTTTGAACTGGCAGAAGGTGGCCTTATCCGTGTAAGAAGGAACACTAGAGTTTATGTAACGTGGACACTTCAACACAGGCATGATTTTCAGGTCTGGCAGACAACTGACCCCAAACTCCTGCCATCTCCTCAGAGACCCTAAGCCAGGACTCCTCCTTCCACGKAGAGGCCACAGGTTCAAAAGTAACAACCCCTTGCTCTGCAGAGCCTTCCATTTACCAAAACAAACAAACAACAACAACAAAAAAAAAAAAAAAACGAAGAGAGGGATAGGCACCGGCTATGGGCTTTATTTGAGCGCGCTTTCCCTTCACTTCGGGTCTCATTACAACCCTTCAAATCCATCGGGGTTTTCCACGCGAGAAGAGGAAGATACAGAACGGCCCAAGCACCCCCATCTCACATGGGCACCGCCGGGGTGGGCCTTGGCTCCCCTGACTGCCACGCCCAGAGCCTTCTTTCCGTGGGCTGCCCCTTTCAGGGTYTGGGGGCTTCCTCTTCCTCCCAGGCTGCTTCTGGGACAACGGCCACCTGTACCGGGAGGACCAGCCCTCGCCTGCACCAGGCCTCCGCTGTCTCAACTGGCTGGACGCGCAGGGCCGCCTGAAGTCAGCCCCCGACTTGGGTCAGTGTCCGCCGCGGTGGGGGACCGGGACTGGTGGGCGGTGGCCGCTATCCTGGCTCCAGCCCATGGTGCCTTCTCTCCCCCTTCAGGATCCGGCAACCACAACTACTGTCGGAACCCGGATCGGGATCCGCGGGGACCCTGGTGCTATGTCAGCGGCGAGACCGGAGCCCCTGAGAAGCGGCCTTGCGAGGATGTGCGCTGCCCAGGTACCCGCACTGCAACCGGGACCCTGTAATCCCGGCGGACCCGGCTGAAGCTGAGCGGTGGTTACACCCGCTGCGCACGTGCGGCCGCAGGACGCGACCGCTCCCGCTCCGCCCCCGCGCCGTCTTGATTGGTCAGGGCTGTCTCCAGGCCGCGGGGCTCAAAGCCTATTGGCTGTAGCCACCGCTCGGAGTGAGCTCATCCTCTGCGAGCCCTCGTAAACAACCGTGGGAGGCGAGCCCTGTCCTTCTGAGAGCCGCGACGGGTGGCTCTTGGTGTTCCCCTGCTAGTATGTTTACTGTGGAGAGTATGCATTGTGCTGGGCACACTGCTCACATCCTCCCCGAGGAGAAGCTATTAATTTGAGAGATATGAGCCGCAGAGTAGTTCAGTCACATACTAAAGGCAGTGGCAGGGTTCAGATTTGAATTAGTTTCTTTCTTTCTTTTTTCGAACTGGGGAGTGAACCCAGGGACGCTCTACTACTGAACTCACCCCCAGCCCATTTTATTTTGAGATAGGGTCTTGCTAAATTACGTAGGGCCTTGCCAAATTGCTGAGGCTGGCCTCGAACTTGCCATCTTCCTGCCTCAACCTCAGGAATTGCTGGGATTACAGGCGTGTGCCGCCACACCCGGCTTGAATCCCAGTTTCTAAGACTACAGGAAAGCAGTCTTGTTGCTCCTGAGGCAGCAAGAGAGTTCTCTAGATTTAATGGGATAATCAAAGTAAAGCATTTTATCACAGGGTTTTGCACAAGGCGTGTGCTCAATAAATATGAGCTGCTTGGAGGAGAAATGGATTACCTCTTGGAGTGGAGGTGGGGGGAATCCCTGGAGAGGATGGCAACTGAGCTGGGTCTCGGAAGGTAACAAAGATTTGAAGAGATGAAGACAAGGAAGGCAGGAGAGAGGCCTTCTCATATTTGCCTTGCATCATATCATATCCCAGCCATAGTTAGGCCCTCTCAGGCCTGCTCTTGCCCCTGGGGTAGGTAGGGTTTGATTTCAGCGTTGGGGAGCAACCTAAGTGCATACCCAGTAGCCTCCCCCAACACTTTCCCAGATTCACTGCGGAATTCACTCAGGGGAGTCTCTGATGAGAGCTCTTTCCCACCTCACTTTCAGAGGCCACTTCCCAAGCACCCCCAGATTCCACAACAGAGCCTGAGACATCTGAAGTGCCAGGTGAAGATGAGGTAAAGGCATTCCCTCCTGCCAATGCCCTGCCTGCTCGGAGTGAGGCAGCAGCTGTGCAGCCAGTGATTGGGATCAGCCAGCGGGTCCGGATGAACTCAAAGGAGAAAAAGGACCTGGGAACTCTGGGTATGGCTCCCCCATCCAACTGCCATGGTTGGAATTCATTGAGATGCCATTTGCTGATTTTTCTGGAATGGCTAATAGGACCTTGTATGGTGTCCTTGGCAGGCTATGTGCTGGGCATTACCATGATGGTGATCATCATCGCCATTGGAGCTGGCATCGTCTTGGGCTACACCTACAAGAGGTTAGTAGCTACTTTGGAGTTCTCTTGGGAAGAGAGGGGTCGAAGGGACACAAAGTCAAATCAAACTTCTTTGTGGCTTTCTTACCCAAAATGAATCAAGGTGTTGAATGAAGGAAGACCAGTTCAAGATGTAGAGATGTGGTTCTAGTCTACCAGGTCATCTTGAAAAACCCTTTCCTTTGGTGCCTTTACTCCTTAGCCCAAAGCATTGTGAAATAGAGTTTCTTATTCCTCATTTTACAGATTAGGAAGTCTTTGTCAGAGATGTGAAATGAATGTCACATTGTCTGGGAGTGGCAGGACCTGGCTTTAAATCCTGCTCTTTTGATAGCAGATTCTTTGTTGTCTAACCCAAACACCTGGCATAGAAGTGAGAGGTGCCACAGAAATCAGGTTGGATACTCAATACAGGGACCTGGAGGCTTAAATCTTTTTGTGAATTATAAAATTCTGCAACTAGAAATGGATCCCAGCCCTGTTTTTGCAGATTTTTAGAAATTTTTAAATTTATCCTTTAATTTAATTTATCCTTTAGGGTAGGAAGGAAAAAGTGAGTTGGAAAAGAGTCTGTTTGCTGCTTCTCACAATGTATGAGAAAGTAAAAGGGGCTACCTAGAAGCTCATACTAGGACATCAGGAAGAGGAACGATAATTTTTAAAGTCTTCTGAGATTTGGGCTGGGGATGTGGCTCAAGCAGTAGCGCACTCACCTGGCATGCATGCGGCCCGGGTTGGATCCTCAGCACCACATACAAAGATGTTGTGTCCGCCGAAAACTAAAAAAAAAAAATATTAAAATTCTCTCTCTCTCTCTCTCTTAAAAAAAAAAAAAAAGTCTCCTGAGATGGTGTGAAAGGCTCTGAAAAATCAATGGTCCATGATGAGAAGAGTCCCAGTCATTTTTATAGCACTGGATGACTCTGGAAAATTATTTGCTGTTCTTGAGCAGAATCAGGGGATTTGACTTCCAGCYTCTAGGGTCTGTGATATTTCCAGAGCGTTTGAGGAGTCTCCCTGATAGGGAAGTGACAAGTGGCCCACATTTTCTAGTGTTGAGAGCCGTGTCTGAGGCCCTAGCGCCAGTGGATTCACTCAGCATTATATAAACCTTAGCTGTCCTTAGAGGTGTTACAATCAACCTCATCATTTTACAGATGAAAAGGGGAAGTGTTGGGTAATAATCACTGTGGTAGCAAACACTTACCATCTGCTCAACTGTTTCAAACTCTGTGCTTTAATTCGCTTCTCACAGTCACTCTTATGAGGTAAATGCTGTTATTATCTCCAGTTCACAGATGAGGAAACTGATATGAGAGAGAATAGGTACCTTGCCTGAGGTTTCACACCTAGCATTTGATGGAGAGAAGTCTTGCCCTTCCACTAATAGCTATCTGTGTGAGCTGGGGGGAAGGGAGGAGTGGCACATGCCTGCAGTCTCAGTGACTTGGGAGGCTGAGGCAGGAGGATTGCAAGTTCAAGGCCAGCCTCAGCAACTTAATGAGACCCTGTTTGAAAATAAAAAATATAAAAAGATGRTGCCAGGTGTGGTGGCAYATGCCTGTAATCCCAGCAACTTGAGAGGCGATGCAGGAGGATTGCAAGTTGAAAGCCAGCCACAGCAACTTAGCAAGGTACTAAGCAACTTAGTGAGACCCTGTCTCGAAAAATAAAAAAGGGCTGGGGATGTGGTAGTTAAGTGCCTGTGGGTTCAATACCCAATACAAAAAACAAACAAACAAACAAACAAAATATATATATATATAAATAAATAAAAAAGATGGGATGTAGCTAGAGGTAAGGCATCCCTAGATTCAATTCCCAGTGCCACCAAAAAAAGAAAAAAAGTTATCTGCATGACTGGGCAGTTGCTTTTGCTTCTGTTTTCTACTCCAGAGCCCTGCTGTGGGGCTAAAGCATTTGACTACTTAGTTTAGTGAATGGTACATAGTAAATGGTCAGTAAACAATAACTATTTTTCTTTTCTATAAAATGTGGGTACTTGACTAGTATTCTCCAAGCCCTGTTCCTTCTCTGATTTTCTGTGTTTCAGGAAGCAGAGGTGCAGAGAGGGGAAGTATTGACCTGAGGGGCATCCTGACTCCCAGATTGAGGTTGTAGTCCATAGTGGGATGATTGACATGGCAGGTCCAGAGACACCTGCTTGTTCATTTCAGAAAGTTAGAGGAAATGAGGTAGTGACCCTGCCCATACAATTCATAATCAGACCTAAATCATGTTAGCTGAATTTAACTCTTGAAATATTTCCCCCGTCCTTTGCTACTGGATAGCATTTGGCTCTCTTCCAGTCTGTGACAGTTTCCAGGCCTTTTGGGTTTTGAACTAACTAAATGTCCTTAATTCCAGGCTCAGTTCTGGTGTCCAATGAGGTTACCAGCTCTTTCTTTTCCCTCCTAGATTTGTTCTTTTAGGCTGTCATGGGACTGCCCTGTGGCTTAGAATTTACTTTCTTATAAACTGAGGGGGAAGGTACCAAGTCACCAGATTTCTCGTCACTAACCACCCRACCACTCCTTTCCTTAGCAAATGTGCTCTGAGAACAGATTGTACAACAGGAAATCACGTGTGGGCTAGAAACAAGCTCTCAGCTTTCATCTCTCCCCAAGTGAGAGAAAATGGAGTGTCCTGGAAAGAGATGTTGGTTGAATGTTGGTGCAGGTGATGTCTGAACCTTGATATACTGTCTATTAAATAGGGATACATCCCCCTCTGTTCCCACGATTATCATTAAGTATTACACATAAGTAGTAGTATACCAATCAGATAATAATCACAATGGCAGGCAACATTTATTTCCTGCTTTTCTCCCCCTGCTTTTTTGTGTGCGTGTGTGTTTGCTAGGGATCAAATCCATGGCTTCACACATGCAAGGCAGGCATTCTACCACTGAGCTACATCCCAAACTTATTTCATGCTTTTTGTTTGGTTTTTTTTTTTTTTTTTTTTTGAGGGGACTTGAACTCAAAGGAACTTTACCTCTGAGCTACATCCTCAGCCCTTTTTATATTTTGAGACCAGCTTATGGTCTTGCTAAGATGCTGAAGCTGGTCTTGAACTTGTGATTCTCCTGCCTTAGCCTCCCAAATTGCTAGGATTACAGATGTGCACCACTGTGCCTGGCTGTTTTAAGCTTTCTTACTTTTTCTTTTTCTTTCTTTCTTTCTTTTTTCTTTTTTTGTGGTGCTGCTGGGGATTGAACCCAAGGCAAGCACTCTACCAACCGAGCTATATCCCCAGCCCTTCATGCTTTCTTTCTTTTCTTTAAAAAAAAAAAATGTTTATTTATTTTTTAGTTGTAGTTGGTTGGACACAATACCTTTATTTTATTTATTTTTATGTAKTGCTGAGGATCGAACCCAGGGCCTCGAAGGTGCTAGGCGAGCGCGCCACCGCTGAGCCACAACCCCAGATCCCCCTCCACACACTTCATGCTTTCTTAATAACAAAGGCCCTACTGTATATTCTTCACTGATTATCTTGCCTAAGCCTCAAGACCACCTTAAAAGCACTATTACACTGTTTTACAGCAAAAAGTTGAGACCTAGAATAGTTAAGTACAATGTCTAAGCTATATAACCATTAACATATGCCTAAAGATTATTAGTATTTCCAAAAAGTCCATCAAAGCCTAGTAGCTTCATATAAATTTGCTTTGAATTGCAAAGGGCAGTAGGAAAAGGAGAGACTTTCCAGAAAACAGCTGGGTTTAGAAGTCAAAAGAAACAAGATCTAGTTCTGGAACTCCCTCCAATTCTGAATGTGATATTAGACAAGTTATTTACCATCTCTAGGCTTCAGTTTACTAATCTGTAAAATGGGGCAAGGAATTAGATATARTGATCCTCTCTCCTCTAATATTACCTAAAATGACAATACAGTCTGATGGTGGCTATAGGCAGTGCTCGTTCAAATCCCATTWCTGCTGCTAACTTGAAAGGATGATTTAACCTTTCTGCATTTGCCTTCACATCCTTGAAACAGTGATCATAAACAATACTAATATGATTGTTGTGGGATGGAATTAGTGTAGTTTGGGAGTATAGTTGGTGTTCATAACCTATAGTTACCTTGGGAAACCCATCCTGAGCACCAGGGTGGTGTAGCATTGCTTCTGAYTGGGAAATAAATAGCAGCAGTTCACAGCAATAATTGAAGAAACCTGCTTTGCCTGAAGGAGGTCTGTGGTGCTTCCATAATCCTGGGAAAGGCGAGCAGAAGCTTCATGCACACCTGCTTTCTCTGGGCGGCCCAGCTTGCTATCAATTCTGGAGCAGTTGGTAATTACTGCAAGCCTTGAACTCTGCCAAAGGCCATGGGGCTTTGCTAATGGGATGGAGCTTTCCCCTAGCTGGAAAGGGTGGCCAGGCACCAGGCTTCCTCTCTGGGGAAGAAGGGCTGCAGGTGGGGGTTGATAGGAACTCAGCCTGGCTGAGTCTTTGTCTTGGTCGTCTAGGCTAGAAGGTTCAGATGGCCAGTCTCCTACTGGGCAGCTCCCTGTCCCTGCTTCAAGTGTAGTGTCTGTATTAGCTCCAAAGGGAGCTCTTATTTTCTGATAAAAAGGGGAGGGAAAAACAGTAAGCCAATACCACTCCACCCCCTTGGGAGAGGAGCTGAGTCAGTGAATAAGCCTTTTGTTCTTTCTTGGCCGCCAGACAACAGCCTGCCTGTCCCCCAACCCTACCAAGTGAGAGGGGGCTGGGCTGCCTAATGGTTAGTGCAGCAGGTCTGGTGGCATTTCTCTGGTCTCCCAAGGGACCTAGGGGTAGCCACTCCATCACCAGAACTCATAAGCAGCATTTACAGCAGGTACGTGGGGTYGGGTGTGCTTCCAGGCTTCTAAATGTATGAGACTAATCCAGACTAGTCCTAGCATCTGCTTCCTTTATCCTTGGTTGCTCTTCCAGTTCAGCTCTGCCTCATTAACACAAATTGATTTTTTTTTTTTTGTCCCCTGAAGATTTGTGTATGATACTGCCTGACAGTTAGCAGCAGCTCACAGCCATATGCTTGGTAAAGGAGGAAGTTGAGAAGCAGGGCTCTCTGGAGTCAGACTCCAAAGCCTCAGTTTATTAATCTAGAAAACGGGGATAACATTATCTTACAAGGTTGGATGTTAAAAGATGGTGCATAGGGCTGGGGATGTGGCTCAAGCGGTAACACGCCCACCTGACATGCACGGGGTGCTGGGTTCSATCCTCAGCACCACATAAAAATAAAATAAAGATGTTGTGTCCACCGAGAACTGAAAAATAAATATTAAAAAAAAGATGGTGCATATATAAAGTGTGTGGCATCCAGTAAGTGCATAGGTAGCTCTTCTCATCCTGGATGATGGAAAGGTCATTTCTTGGTATCTTGCTAGGTATTTGGGAAGTTAGGAGTTCCTGGCTTTCCTTCTTCTTCCAGCCCCTTAGATTTTGAAATTTAGACCTTGGCAAAATATACTTGCAATACTCCATTTTTTTTGTTGTTGTTTTTTGTTTGTGTGTGCTTTCTGAAAACTAGAGATTGAACCCCGGGGTGCTCTACCACTGAGCTATATCCCCAGCCCTTCTTGTTTTTTATTTTGAGACAGTTCTCATTAAATTGCTGAGGCTGGCCTTGAATTTGCTATCCTCCTGCCTCAGCCTCCACAGTTGCTAGGATTACAGGCTTTTTTTTTTTTTTGGTGGGGGGTGATGGTTATGGCTATGTTGCCCAGCTTGGCCTTGAACTGGTGAGCCTCCCTTTTCATCCTCTGAGTAGCTGGGATTACAGGAGTGTGCGATCATGCCTAGCTCATTTTTTTTTTTTTTTTTGTAAATTGCCTTTTGGTTTTCTACAGGCTTGGGGGCTTCCTTACTGAAATTAAACCCAGACCTTCCAAATCTTTCCCTACTGTGCTGGGTGCAATGACACACACCTGTAATCCCAGTGACTCAGGAGGCTGAGGCAGGAAGACTGAAAGTTTGAGGCCAGCCTCAGCAATTTAGCTAGATTGTGTCTCAAAATTAAAAGGACTGGGGGTATATCTCAGTGGCAAAGTGCTCCTAGGTTCATTCTCTATTTTGATATGGCCCCAGGAAACAAAAATCCGTATTTCTTCCTACATGAGCAGGCTTGAAGAATGTGGCTTTTTGTTTTATTATGGAGGTAGGTATTTCCTTCTGTGTGGTGGCAGCCCATAACTGATGAAATGTCCAATGAATTTGAGGACATGAATGGGGGGAGCACTTGGTCCAGATAACCATCTTCTCATAAATAGTGTCCCTCTATTTCCCCTTTGAGTGATCTGGGAGACTTTCTGTTGTGGAAGTTGATGGTGTTCAGTACAAGGCTAAGGAGAAGAATGGGGCAGGAGCCTTGGCTTGCACACACAGATACATGGTCACCCCCAGCCACCCCGGGTGACTCAGGAGGAGCTCACAAATCTGCTTCCTATGACCTTACAATGACAGGGAGTCAGAGCATATTTCATGTGAGGGAGCCTAGAGTGTCAAGGTCCCTGGAGATTATCAAATCCAACTCCTTATTTTACAGATGACAAAATTAAGGCCCAGAGAGGAGAGGATTATTGAGGTCACATAAACAATACATGCCTTGGCTGGTCAGTGGGAGAGATTTCTTGGGAAACCAAGTTAAGATAACATTGCTTGGTGAGTCAAGTCATATYCAGGGCAAATCATAATATCCTGTGAGTTTTTACATCAGTTTTAGTATTTTCAAATGATTTCATGTTAATTATGTTGGTTTGAGACAGATGAGGAAGCAAAGCTCAGAGAGGCTGTTATGCCAAGTGTCATGTAGCTTGGCTTAGCCGATATTAGAACAAAAGTAAAGAGAAATGGATGATTTATAGACAGTTGTTAGGCAACTGTGCAAGCTCTTCTTCCTCCAACCCCTCCCTGTCAATATTATTATCCAGTCTCTGGCTGTTTCCATTACACTTCACATCAAGATGGATAGTTAATCCATTTGATCATGGCCATGTCCTTGAGGAAATCTGAAACAAGTTCCTGTGTTATTTTACCATGTCAACCATTAGCCATTTATTTCAAGGCTCCTTCTCAGAGGATTTCCTCTGATGACTGAGCCCAAGTTGCTGGCTTTGGACAAGGATGCCAACTTGGGTCCTGGGTCTTGGTTCTGGTGGGCAGTGTGCTGRGCATTCACCAAGCCCTGTGGTCAGCACTGGAGTGTGGCCAAATATAGTGCAGTCAGAAAACAGGGTTTATTTCTTAGGGGATGACCTTGATCAGTCAGAATTTCTCTGAGCAGCCAGAGCCCACCAATTCTTGGTGAGTCAAGTCATATTCAGGRCAAATCATAATATCCTGTGAATTTTTACATCAGTTTTAGTATTTTCAAATGATTTCATGTTAATTATATTGGTTTGAGACAGATGAGGAAGCAAAGCTCTAGTCCAAAGATACTACATTTTTGGAGTGTTCTTTAACTTCTCTGGGCCATTTAATTATCTAYAAAGTGAATAAGACCTAACTCTTAGGGTTGAGCTGAGAATAAAATAAGATAGTATATATAAAGTGATTAGCACGGAGTGAGCACTCCCCATGAGTTAAATGGCAATACCATGGCCTGACTGTGTCACTGAGCATCATGAGAATTCAAAGATATATAAAAACTCTGGGAGGTCAGATAATCATTCTAGTTTCTTCTTGACCTGAACATCCCTCAGAGCCATTTTGGTCCCTTGCATGGGTTGGGAATGGTCCACTGACAGTCTGTGCTCACGCCTTCCAGGACTTTTTTTTTTTTTTTTTAAGAGAGAGTGAGAGAGGAGAGAGAGAGAGAGAGAGAGAGAGAGAGAGAGAGAGAGAGAGAGAATTTTTTAGTATTTATTTTTTAGTTCTCGGCGGACACAACATCTTTGTTGGTATGTGGTGCTGAGGATCGAACCCGGGCCGCACGCATGCCAGGCGAGCGCGCTACCGCTGAGCCACATCCCCAGCCCCTTCCAGGACTTTTAAGACAAGAATTCTATCTCTTAGCAGGATGGTCAGATCCATTTTCTAGACAACTTTAAGGATTAGGGATGAAACTGGGTTAGTTCTCTGAATCTGTTGGAACCCTGGACCAAAAGAACAAAACAGTATCTTGCTTTTAAGACCCTTTCCTCTATATTATTTCCTCTGGACCCCCTGCCACTTTGTGAGGCTCATACTGTTATTACCCCCATTTTACAGATGGGGAAGAAGAAATCCAGATGTTCAGGAGCTTCTTGGTGAGTTTAAGGTAGTCTTAGACCTAGGTTAGCATTAGTCCTGGTTCAACCAATAATTTTTATTATTTTTTTTTTTTTTTTGTGGCCAGGGTGAATGACTGCTCTTGTTTGGGCCTTGGGGATGCTATCTAATTGAGTGAAGTCATGAAGTAGGCATAGTCTGATCACTTCCTTCTTTTCTTGCCAGGGGGAAGGACTTGAAAGAACAGCACGAGCAGAAAGTGTGTGAGAGGGAGATGCAGCGAATCACTCTGCCCTTGTCTGCCTTCACCAACCCCACCTGTGAGATTGTGGATGAGAAGACCGTTGTGGTCCACAGCAGCCAGACTCCTGTTGATCTGCCAGAAGGCAGCACCCCCCTCATGGGCCAGGCTGGCACCCCTGGGGCCTGAGCCCCTCCAGTGGGCAGGAATATATATAGACACTGGTGCAGGACAGCCCGCCCTCCTTCAGCTGGGAGGATCAACATTTTGTGTTGTGGTTAAAACCTAACCCCACTTTTTTTTTTTTTTTTGGTGAATCCTCATGATAGAAGCAGGTAGGGCTGTGGGGGAGGCTGAGTAGGGTCCTATCGATACTCATTCTTCATCCCTTAGAGCAAGATTTTGCCTGTGGATGGGGACAGTAGCATGGCTCCCAGAGTGGTGCTGCTGACAAGGGCTTCCACATATTTTCTGTGCCCCTAAAACTGGACTGGGAGCATAGGGAGCTCCCCCAGGCTCCTCTGTGCTTTAACTGTATAAGACAGCCTCAACCTCTGCCTTTCTGTTTGTTCTCCATGAGCTTGAGTGGCATAAACTGTTATTCATAGTTCAGGCCAAGAAGGTCAAGAGGAGGCACTGAAAGAATATAGTTTTTTTAAGTATTTGGGATGGAACGCCCTACTGACCTTTGAGAACCGGAAGTGAGTTTGTACAAAAGTCAGAACTTTGGGCTGAGAACAGGATCTTGGCCTGGGCCTGCTGGGTGTGCTCCAGCTTGCTGGCAGTGATGTGCCTTGACAACCATGGGCCAGGTCTGGGCCCAGGGACTCTTCCTGTTTTGTAAGGAAAGGAAGGGAAGAATTGCACTAAACATTCCACTTAGGAAGAGGGTAAAGAATGATCTGCTCCTGCCTTAGGCCCCAGAGGCAGAGGTGAATCTGGGGAGCCCCAGACCATCTCTCTTCTGGGGTAAACAGTGACCTCTCTTCATTTTGTGCAGGTAGGAGAGTAGCTAGCTAACTTGTGGGAATTATTTACAGTGGGGTCTGGTGAGCTGCTTTTGACTGAACTCAGAGGCAAGGTAACAGCACTTCAGGGCTTGTGCCTGCAGTGCACTTTGGTTTGCAGGTGGCTTTGTAGTCTCCAGGCCAGCACCTTCCTGTGCAGCAGTGGGGTTAGGGTCACAAACCCTAACTTGTAAAACAATCATAGAACATTGGAAAGGACTTTAAGATTCTCCAAGTCTCTTAGACATGGGCCCAGAGAGAAAGTGACTTGCTCAAGGCTATTCTATGGCCAAWAGAGCTGAACTTCCTGAGTACAACATTTTCCCACTGCACTGTGCTCCTGCTCAGCAGGCCCTCCAAACCCTGATGTCACACTTGGAGGACTTGGCAATGCTCCCTAGCCACAGAGCTTCCTTCCACTGCCCCGTGTGGAGAGGTGGGTGAATGGGGCCCATTTCCTTCAACTGACTGCTCCCTGGAGCCATTTGCTGAGGGCACCTAGACCTCAGGGGGAGCTCCCCCAGGAGTCCCTTGGTATTAATGATGTTGGGGAAAAGAACATTACTGGTTTCTACTTTTCTATAAAAGGATTTCTCTGTATACATGTTTTATATACCTCATTCTGACACCTGTGTGTAAAGTACGGGAAATTGCTGTGTATTTGACTAATATAAAAACAAAACTCCATGTTGCCAAGCTTTTGTGGGGTATTGCAGGTTACTTTGTCAACAACTGTGTGTGAACATTGCCCTTCTTTTCACTCACTCTAGCCTGTACGTGAAAGGCAGCAACAGTTAAATGGTTGGAAATTGCACCTTCTGTGTCCTGTTGTCATCACCAGGAATCTTGCAAGTTGAAGCTGTGGGAAGGCTGGATGTATGGGGGTCTCAAGAAGGAAGTTGGTCACTGCCAACCACCCCCCCTTCAATGAGTTTGAAATGAAGAGAATTAAAATGAACATCCATACTGTCCTTGTTAGGGACTGGACAAATAGATGGGTGACAACCAAAAGAGGAATGGGTATGGTTGAGAAGGATGGATCTTTGGGCTGCCAGGAGCAGACTTTGGCGGAGGAAGCTGTCTGTGGCTGAATCCTAGGGCTCTAGATCGAAAGCTATAACACAGGAATGTTTTTTGGACTTCTGGCAGGGGATTTTAGCAATAGGTGCTCAGGCTCTAGGTATACCCAAGGGTATCCTCTGCCCATGCCCAGATATTGTTCTACAGTTCTGTCAGAAATGGTCACCTCAGATCATCAGTTTTTTCAAGGAACAAATTTTRCCCTTACATTGGATTCCTCAAGCTATGGGGAGTACAAAGGAAAAATTACCTTTATATCTTTGGGTTTATGGATTTATATTATGCCCATAAACAGGCAGCATCAACTTGCCCCATGGTCAGTCTTCCATAACATCCCTCAGGACCAGACACACTTCCTACACACAGGGTGGGATAAATGCATGTGTTTCTCCCCATCACTAAGATGGTACATAGCCCTGTGGAAACAAAGCCAGGAAACCCAGGCTGTATGTGTTCATATATTAAGAGGTAGGAATAGAGGGCTCCTGAGGACTTGGCTGGCAGGTGGGAGCCAGCACAGTAGTTTGTGGAGCCAAGATGAGGTCATAGCCCTATTTTCCAAAAGGGGCTGCCTCAGGYAAGATGTGCACATTCTCTAGAGCAGGCTGAGGTCTGCCTCAGGAGATGGGAACTAGTTTTGGGAGTGTGAAAACCCCCTGCTATGGGGAAGTCATATGGCCTGGATGGAAAGGTGGCCAGCAGACGTTCCATACTTCTGTCTCCGAGTCAGGCCCCAAGTCACTTTTTCACTCTCAGTATTGTCAGTTATGTTAACTGCTTAATTTATTTATTTAGTCTCAATGGCCCAGGTCAGGCCCACCACTCCCACACTTGCTGGGGACAGATAAAGCACAACCAACCATACAACGCTAAACCACGTTGCTGCTGGAAGTCCAGGACTCAACCCTACAGCAAACCTGCAAACTCTACACAGAAGTATAGTCTAAACTCTGGCCAGAAATGACATCCCCCAACTCATCCAGTCTATGTACATTATTTCACATATCACCCAATAGATACAACAAGATAATATTAACAGCAACCACTCTTCTGTATCACACCCCCCCACCCCCAATACAACCACCACACATTGCATTTATACCCCAAACCCATTCCCAATTTGTTAAATATGGTGCAAGCTCACAGACACTTAGGAGAGGCAAATCTAGTTGTGCTGTAGAATCCCTTGAGGTCTGGGAACCAAGGTGGAGGGTACCCCCAGGGCTTTCCAGTGCCCGTGGCCCTGGAGTGTGGCTCAGGAGGCATAGTCAGGAGCTATGAGCTGGGCCAGCCTACAAGGGAGGTAGAAGCCAGATGGCCAAGCTCAGGGAGCTGTCTCAGTGTCTTAGATCTGAGATTCTGCCACCACCTCATCCCAATCCAAGTTGCTATTTGGAATAGGAATGTTGATGGGTGAGCAGTGGTTATAATATGGGTGGGGCCAAGAGACTGTGAGACACCCACCCCAACCCCCGCCTCAGACCTTAGGCCTGTGACAAAGCCATACAATCCTCCAGAACTCATCTAGATCTAGGTAAAATGTCTCGGGCTTTTGACTGAGGAACCCACCARAGTATGAGTTATGAGTGACTGAAGCCAGGATATGGGTTTTCTAAAGGACAAAACCTCTTTTTCTCTAGCCCCCMGTCAGTTTCTGTGCTCTTGGTGACTGCTTGTTGAGAAAAGGATGCCACCCAGAATTTCTCAGCCAGTCTCTAGTAGTACACTTTGAGAACACAAAGTGGAAGATCCTCACACATTGATATGGTTCCTAAGCTGGCTAGAGCCACCCGCTGGCAGATAGTATGAATTAACCCTCTTAAGATTCTTGGTCAGTTCCATCATACACTATAGGACTCTTCACACCCTACTCAGAACATGGAGTGGAAATGGGGAATATCACTGTCATTTTATACCCTTCAAGTGCCACTTGGCCACCAGTCTTCCTCTCATCCACACTCCTACTTGAAGTCCTTCCTCAACCCAGCTGGTCCAGAGACTTCAGRGCCCATAGGCAGGTTCACCCTGGGATCCTGCCCAGCAGGTCCAAGTCATGTCAATTAGTGTAAGCAAGAGGCTCCTGGAATCCCATTGCCAGGGAGTTCCCAAGGGGTCCTGAGTAACAGATTCCTCTTGGCCCAGAGTCCAGGCTTTTTCTTCTTCACAGCTTTCAGGCGAGTGTTGGACTTATAGACAGTAACCAGGCCCCAAAACCCAGAGAGATGTGTTTTCCTGGTGTGCGCCTGCTCGCCTCCTGGGGAGGTAGTAGAGATGGCTCATTCTGCTTCTAAACAAGCCACCAATCCACAGGAAGCCCAGACAGCCCTGCTCACAGCAGGGACAGGGCACAGAGGGGCAGTGCTGGCTGTGGAACGCCCCCCTGCAGGGGGCTGGGCTGGGGCTAGGGGGGTGAATCCCGGGTCAGGCCGTACTGCATGCTCACAGTGTGGTCCAGCTCCTCCAGCTCTGCAGGCAGTGGGATGCCCAGCTCTCCCAGATACAGGGAGAGGGCCTCAAAGGAATCCTCCAGTTTTGAGAATGCTGGTCTAGAAAAAAATGGGGTGAATTAAAGGCAGATGGAAATCAGTAGGACCATGGGGTGGTATGAAAGGAATCCAGGCAGAGGTTCAGTCACTTCCTGGTTATGACCTCAGGCAAATCCTTTAACCTCCTTATGCCTCCAAGAGAAATGGGCATAATATGTTACTGTTCCCTCACAGGATTACTGTAAAGGTTAAGGATAACAATGTGAGAAGGCGGGCCCAGCTGGGTGCACTGGTACATGCCTGTAATCCCAGTGACTCAGGAGGCTGAGGCAGGAGGACTGCAACTTTGAGATCAACCTCAGCAACTTAGCRAAGTTGAGACCATCTCTAAAAAATAAAAGGGCTAGGGATGCTGCTCAGTGGTTAAACATCTCTGGGTTCAATCTTGGCCCCCAAAACCAAAAACTTTCTTTGTGCAACTTAGCAAGGCCCCCCAAAAAAACATTTATCATGTTGGACCAGGGATTTTGGGTGTTTCAGGCACACATTTCTACCACAGAGCCATATCCTCAGCCCTTCTAGTTCTCTTATAGTCCAGAAGACAGCAATCCATGTTTAAAATTAAAATTTGTACCCTAAACAATCTTCTTTACTTGGATTGACTTTTTCTTCACAACATTTGTCACCTTCTAAATATTCAATATAGTTTATTTTCTGTTGTTTATGAACTCCCCTTGGGAGGCATGTGCTTACCACTAAGCAACATCCTCAGCCCCAATCTCCTTGTTAGAATACTCCATGAGGGTAGGCACCTTTGTTTTTTTCAGCACTGTAATTCAAGCACTTAGAATTGCACCTAGCACATGGTAGGCACTTAATATATATATTTTGGAATATACACAGGCATTTAGAATGACTCAGAACGGATATTAGCAAACAAATATTGTGTAGTTCCACAATTTTTTTAATATTTATTTTTCAGTTGTAGTTGGACACAATACCTTTATTTATTTATTTTTACGTGGGGCTGAGGATCGAACTTAGGGATTTGCATGTGCTAGAACACTCTGCTGCTGAGCCACAACCCCAGCCCCCACAATTTTTTTTAAAGTTGTTAACACTGTTGTTATTGAAGGATTGCTGTCTTCTGGACTATAAAAGAACTAGAAGGACTGAGGATATGGCTCTGTGGTAGAAATGTGTGCCTGGAATACCCAAAAATCCCTGGTCCAACATAATAAATGTTTGTTTTTGTGTGTGTGGTGCTTGGGATTAAACACAGAATCTCACACATATTATGCAAGTATTCTACCACTGGGCTACATTCTCAGCACTATGATTATGACTTTTTTTTTTTTTTTTTTTTTTTTTTAGATACAGGGGATTGAATCCAGGGTGCTCTGTCATTGAGTTACATCCCCAGGCCTTTTAACTTTATTTTTGAAACAAGGTTTCACTAAATTGTTGAGGCTGGCTTGGACCTTATGATCCTCCGCCTCAGCCTCCTGAGTCACTGGGATTATAGGCATATGCCACCATATCTGGCAAGCCCCATGATTTATTTATTTATTTACTTATTTTTGGTACCAGGGATTGAACCCAGGGGCATTTGACCACTGAGCCACATCTCCAGCCCTATTTTGTATTTTATTTAGAGATAGGGTTTCTGAGTTGCTTAATGCCTCGCTTTTGCTGAGGCTGGCTTTGAACTTGAGATCCACCTGTCTCAGTCCTGAGCTGCTGGGATCATAGGTGTGCGCCACTGTGCCTGGCAAGCCCCATGATTTTTGATATTTGATAGCAAGAAGATAACAAGGATTCTAGTTTTCTAATGCATGAACTTAAAAAAGATATTGGCTAGAGCTGGGGTTGCGGCTCAGCGGTAGAGCACTCACCTTGCACGGCAAGTCCATGGGTTCGATCCTTAGCACCACATAAAAATAAATAAATAAAAAAAGTATTGTGTCTAACTACAACTAAAAAATAAATATTAAAAAAAAGATGTGGGCTAACTTTGGTAATATTGAAAGCCATCACTTGAGAAGAATTAAGGCAATTTTAAGAAGACATTTTTTTATGCATGGTACTAGGGATTGAACCCAGAGCCTTGCATACTATGAAAGTGCTGTA